CCAGCCTGCACCCTCTCCAATCCGGGATCCCTCGGGGGATGTCCGACTGCCGGTTTAATCAGGCCTAAACTGGCAGTCGGACATCCCTCTCTCAATCCAGGACTGTTGGCTCCTAACCACTCACCTGCCTGCCTGCCTGATCACCCCTAACCATTCTGCCTGCTGGCCTGATTGCCACCAACTGCCCCCTATTCTGGCCTGATCACCCTTAACTGCCCCACTCCTGCCGGCCTGCTCACCCCCAACTGCCCCCGCCTGCTGGCCTGCTCGTCCCCAACTGCCCCCTGCTGGCTGGAAGCTCTCCCAGTCTAATTAGCACATTACCCTTTTATTAGTATAGATGATTATTGGTTTTGTTAATCCTCACCCAAGGATATTTTTTCCATTTATTTTTAGAGAGACTGGAAGGGAGAGAGGGAGAGAAGAGGCAGAAAGAGAAGCATTGATGTGAGAGAGACATAACGATTGGCTGCCTCCCACATGTGCCCTGACCAGGACCTGGAATCAAACCTGAAGCCCAGTATGTGCCCTTGACCAGGAATCGAACCTAGACCCCTTGGTGTGTGGGGGTGAGGCTCTAACCACTGAGCAACCGGCCAGGGCTACATAATAAATCACCCCTAACCACTCTGCCTGCTGGCCTGATTGCCACCAACTGCCCCCCATTCTGGCCTGATCACCCTTAACTGCCCCACTTCTGCCGGCCTGCTCACCCCCAACTGCCCCCGCCTGCTGGCCTGCTTGCCCCCAACTGCCCTCCTGCCAGCCTGCTCGCTCCCAACTGCCCTCCCTAGCCGGCCTGATTGCCCCTAATTACCTCTGCCTCATCCCCACCACCATGGCTTTTTCCAGAAGGACATCCAAAAGGTCTCCCGGTCTAATTAGCATATTACCCTTTTATTAGTACTGATTCCTTTTTACTCTACCATGGTTTCTAGTTTGCAATGTTTGTACCCACTAAATTTGTGCCACCCTTGCAACCCTGTATTACTCAGGTATACTTTGTGTGGAAATTTGACTTGTGTATTTTTAGAGAGACTGGAAGGGAGAGAGGGAGGGAGAGAGGGAGGGAGAGAGGGAGAGAAGAGGCAGAAAGAGAAGCATTGATGTGAGAGAGACATAACGATTGGCTGCCTCCCACATGTGCCCTGACCAGGACCTGGAATCAAACCTGAAGCCCAGTATGTGCCCTTGACCAGGAATTGAACCTAGACCCCTTGGTGTGTGGGGGTGAGGCTCTAACCACTGAGCCACCGACCAGGGCTACATAATAATTTTTATTTATTTATTTATTTTCTTTATTGATTAAGGTATTACATATGTGTCCTTTCCCCCCATCGCCCCCCCACATGATAATTTTTTTAACCACCCACAAAGTTGATTGACTAATTCTTCTTGTCCAGAATGAAAGCAACAGACACTGTTATTCAGCGAACCTGAGTGCAGGTACAAAGCAGCTGGTCAGCCAGGCACGCCCACTTAGAGATTCCCCTGATGTCCGGCACAGACCGGGAGCCATCATGACTCTGGTGGGGCCTCACAGGGGCTGCGCATCTGCTGGGGAGGAAGTGGGCAGGGTGGGCGTTGCTGGGGGTGGGTGGCCTGAGAAGACCCAGGTGAGGAGGTGACATTGAGCTGAGACATAATTGGTCCCCTTGAGGAAGGCAGGGAAAAGCATTGTAGCGGTGGGAACAGCCCATGCAAAGGCACTGAGTTGGGGAAGACATATCCGTGCATCAGTGGAAGGCCTAGGGAGCCAAAGCAAGGGGAGCCCCTGACACTCTCTGGGTTTGATGGCCGCGGACATGGGATTGGAGAGGTGAGCTGTGTGCTATAAGGACTCCATGCCACGGGCCCTCAGCCAGCGGGAGAGGGGCCTGGGAGGTCATCGGGATGCTGAGTGTCCCTGCAAGGGCATGGAGGGGCTCCAGCTTAACCCTGCAGGACCCCACCTTTGAGCAGGCGTTCCCCACCTTCAGGCCATTTGTCCAAGCATTTAGGGATCCCAGGAACAGGATGCATTCTGGTTCTGGTGGGAGGTGGTCCTCTGTCCTCCCCAACCCGCTGGTCCTCAGGCACAGGCCGTGCCCGTGGTGCTCCTCTGTGCCTGGCGCACAGCAGATGCTGAGGAAACGCTTTCTCAGTATGAATCCATCGAGGAGCTTCGTTTTCACTGCTGTTCCCTGAAGGGGGGCTGAGGTGGTTCTGCTTCCCAGTGACACCCCACACACACTCGTTTAGCACCTGACACATAGTAGGTGCTCAGTCAGTAATTGCGAACAAATTAAATAACTGTTGTCACTACCTGTTTGTCCACCGCTGCTGGACTTCAAGCTCCGACAGGTGGGCGGCTCTGGTCCCCTGCAGCCGGCGTGGGCAGTGCTTGCACACACGGGCGACCGCGGGCCCTCTGTGGCCCAGGCTTCACAGCCGGCTCTGTCTGCGTCTTTTAAAGAGAGGGCCCGAGAATTACGTAGGTTTGTACTTGGAAACTGGTGCAACTGTAGGCGATAGTTTTCTGGACACTTAGAGAAAAGAAGGGAGCAGGTGGGTGAGTTGCTGAGTGCTGGGCTGGGGCTGCAGGTGGGAAGGGCTCTCCCAAGGAGGAGCTGAGAGCTTTGCTGGGGCCTGTGGAGGGCGGCCAGGTCTCCTCCCTGTCGCCTGGTGGGCTCTTTGGGAGCATACGCTGGGTGCACAGCGAAGCTCTGGGGCGGCCTGTGAGCAGAGAGTGGTCAAGGAGTGTTTCACTGACAGTAGGAACCGCAGGAAAGTGCCCCAGGGCATTGGGGCAGAGAGAAGAGGGCCCAGCCGGTTAAGGAGCATTTGGTGGAGGGCAGAGTGGGCAGTGGGGGCCAGCTGAGAGAGGGCGTCATGCCAGGCGTTGATTCTCAGGTGCGACACTTGGCAGCCTGGTCAGTGAGAAAACTTGGGGTTCCCAAACAGGGTGCCCAGGGGACCAGGCCCTCTTACCCCACCTCCTGGGCCTCCCCCTGTCTTCTGGAGGCCCCGCCCTGACTCACCTGGCTGTTTGTGTCTGTGCAGCGCTGGAGAAGAAGGCCGGCCGGCAGGGTCGGGAGGAGCTCATCAAGAAGGGGCTGCTCGAGATGGTGGAGCAGGGTAAGTGGGGGACAGGGCGGGTGGGGGGCAGGGTAAAGGGGAAGGAGGGTGAGTGGGGGGCAG